TGTTGTTAGATAGAAAATACTTCCTAGGAAAGAATCTACTAATGCTATTCTGCTTAAAGGCCATAGAATTAAAATAACTCCTAATGAGTTGTTGCTGTACAGGTTGCTGTAACCTGTAGATTAGTGCAGCTCTACTTCTTGTAGTCAACACAAAGACTCACAGCTGCTCAATGTGCAGAGAAGAAAGACTTCTGAGTGCTCAGCCCTAAATGGACATCTACATCACACTCCTCCCCGCCTGCACCCCAAGACTCAGGGATTGCCGTGGAAGAGAAAGTATAAGAACTTTAAGGACCCAAGTAGATGTATGACTATAAGGAAACCATGTTTTCTGGATACAACAGGGCAGGGGCTTATGTGAACTCACAGTGATTGTGACAGCATGCATCAGACCTGCATGATCTCAGGCCAGACAAAATCCCAGTGTGGGGGGTGGGGTCCAAAGTCCCACTCCTAGCCGAGAAGCTATTGGCATTTGATAGCTGTTGGGAGGGAGTTAGTTTTCTTTAAGGGTGTGACCACGATTCAGGGCAAGCTCCACACCCAAGAATAATTGGGCAACACACTAAACCCAATAGGTTAGACATACACAGAGAGAACATGAAGTGAAGTTGGGTGGGGTAGGGAGAGGTGTATCTGGAAGGAGTTAGTGGAGAGGGGAAAAGATAAAAAAACTACATTGTATGAAGTTTTTAAAAAATTAATAAAGACATTGTTTTTAAATAGCAAATAAGCAAAGCAGAAAAGTACACATTTTGTTTGTTTTGATTCTTTTGAGACTAGATTTTGTGTAGTTGAAGATGACCTTGAACTTCTGATCCTCCTGCCTCTACCTCCCAGGTGCTGGGATTACGGGCCTGCACCAAGACACCTAGTTTACGTGGTGCTGGGAACCAAACCTGGGGTTCATGTACGCTGTGCAAGCACTCTACCAACTAACTATAGCCCCAGACCAAAAAACAATAAAAAGAAAGAAAGATTCTAGCGAGGTCTTTGTGTTTATGGTCGGTCCCTGTACAGCTGAAAACAAATGCAGGCCCTCCAAGAAGCATGGTGGGGTAAAGCGAAGAATCTGCTTCTCTGTGAAAGAGGGGGATTTGAAGAAGGGGGTAAGCAGCCCAATAGGAAAATAAGGATACAAAGAAGCGAACTACCAATATGAACACCCAGATCACTAGAAAACACCGGAAATGATGCTCAAAACCTTTAGCAATCAGAGATAAACATAAATTAAATAATCATAAGCTATTGCTTATTGGGTTAGAATGCCTGGTACTAGTGAGGCTCTGGGGAAAGGGACAACCCTTGTAAGTTATTATGGAAACATGGATTGTTATTCCTGGAGACACTCAGTATTGCAACATCTATGAGAAAACATGCTAAGTTGGGCTGGAGGGATGGTCCAGTGATTAAGAATACTGCTCTTGCAATGGACACAAGTTTGGTTCCTAGCATCCAGGTCAGGTGAGGTACTCACAACTACCCACAACTCTAGTTTACATGGCCTCCCACCACCCCAGATCTGCTGTCTGTCCTTTCCTCATGGATCATCTCCATCTCTAAGACACAGTTCCCCAAATCTCATCATCTTTCCTCTCAGCTCCAGAGGATCCAACACTCTCTTTTGGTCTCCATGAGCACCTACCCATAGATTTATACCCTCGCAGAGACATACATGAATACACATAGTTAAATAAAAAAAATTAAATAGTGCTAAGTAATGTGTTTGTTGCAGACATAATTCACAGCAAGGGCTGGAAGGGGAATGAATGGTAACAAAAAGGGAATAATTGGATAAACTATTATCCATACTAGGAATATTTTACAACCGTTCAAAGGAATAAATTAATCACTAATCACAAGTACTTTGGAGTTTTTCATGAGATATCAATGACAAAGCATGATGAATTAAAATGTGTATGAAATGGACTCTCTGCTCCTCCCTGTTCTAGAGACAGCTGCATCTTTTTGTGCAGTGCCAGCCTTGTTCCAGAGACACGATGGTGAAGGTCGAAGTGAACAGATTTGGCCGTATTGAACGCCTTGTTACCAGGGCTGCCTTCACTTCCGGCAAATTGGTCGTTGTTGCCATCAATGACCCTTCATTGACCTCAACTTCATGGTCTACATGTTCCATTATGACTTCACCCATGGCAAGTTCAATGGCACAGTCAAGGCTGAATGGGAAGCTTATCATCACCAGGAAGGCCATCACCATCTTCCAAGAGCAAGATCCTGCCAACATCAAATGGGGTGATGCTGGTGCCAAGTATGTTGTGAAGTCTACTGGTGTCCTCATCAACATGGAGATGGCTGGGGCCCACTTAAGAGTGGGTCCAAAGGGTCATCATTTCTACCCCTTCTGCAGATGCCCCCATGTTTGTGATGGGTGTAGATCATGAGAAGTATGACAATTCCCTCAAGATTGTCAGCAACGCTTCCTGCACCACCAATTGCTTAGCCCCCTTGGCCAAGGTCATCCATGACAACTTTGGCATTGTGGAAGGACTCATGACCACAGTCCATGCCATCACTGTCACCTAGAAGACTGTGGATTGCCCCTCTGGGAAGCTGTGGTGAGATGGCCGTGGTGTTGCCCAGAACATCATCCCTGCATCCACTGGTGCTGCCAAGGCTGTGGACAAGGTCATCCCAGAGATGAACAGGAAGTTCACAGGCATGATCTTCCATATTCCTACCTCCAATGTGTCTGCTGTGGATCTGACGTGCCACCTGGAGAAAGTTGCCAAGTATGGTGATATCAACAAGGCAGTGAAGCAGGCATCTCAGGGCCCACTAAAAAGCATCCTGGGCTACACTGAGGACCAGGTTGTCTCCTATGACTTCAACAGTGATGCCCACTTTCCACCTTTGATGCTGGGTCTGGTGTTGCTCTCAGTGACAACTTTGTAAAGCTCATTTCCTAGTATGACAATGAATTTGGACACGTAACAGGGTGATGGACCTCATGGCCTACATGGCCTCCAAGGAGTAAGAAGCCCACCCTGGATCACCCATCCCAGCAAGGACACAGCAAGAGAGAGGCCCTCAGCTGCTGAGCAGTCCCTGTCTTAACTCAGCCCCTCACACTGAGCTTCTCCCTCACAGTTTCCATCCCAGACCCCCAGAGTCTAACAGGGGGGCTTAGGGAGCCATACTCTCTTGAATACCATCAATAAAGTTGACTGTACCCATAAAAAAATGTGTATAAAATAGAATTCTTTTAAAAAAATAATGTCAAAAACTATACATACATAAATGTTAATGTGCATACATATATGTACATACATGTGTTCACATAACAACACAAATGTGTTGTGGAACATTTTGCTATATAATGATATGCTAAATTTGTTTATATTGCAGAATATTACTTTAACTGAGTAAAGGTGTGTTACATTGATTTATGCTGCCTTTGTTAAGCATGGAAAAATGTATTACAATTGTTTATGCTGCATTTGTTTAATGTAAAGATGTGTTGGCTGTTTCACCTTGCCTACCTAAGGCACCTGATTGGTCTAATAAAAAGCTGAACAGCCAATGGCTAGGCGGGACAGGAGGAACTGGTGGGCAGACAGAATAAGTAGGAAGAGAAATCTAAGCAAAGAAGAGAAAATAACAGAGAGAGAATGAGGGGCATACCTGGGTCCAGAAGTCAGCCAGCTACACAGGAGAAGTAATGAAAGCAGGGAAGGAAGGAAGGAAGGAAGGAAGGAAGGAAGGAAGGAAGGAAGGAAGGAAGGAAGGAAGGAAGGAAGGAAGGAAGAAAGGAAGGTAAAAAAATCCCCAAGACAAAATATAACTAAAAAGAAACAGATTAAAGAGAGTTAAGCTAAGGCTGAGCATTCAAAACTATTAGGGCTCTGTGTCTTGGTTTAAGAGCTGGTTGGTGGCCCAAAAGAAAACCCAAGTGCATTCAGGAAAACATGTAGGGAGGTGAAGACAGCATCATTATCTGGGAAGAACAGAGGTTGACTGCGGGGGAGTAGCCAAAATAAGGGCAAAAGACCAAGACATGATGATATCATGCCATTCCGGCATTTGTAGGGATTTGTAGGAATGTATATGTATAGGAATGTATATGAAGTTTTAAATATTTACATATGTATGAGGAAATAATATTGAGGCAAAATCATAAACTATAACAGATAATGATTTCTATTTCATCCCTACAGAGGCATTTTTAAAACATAGGATTCCAACATTTGAAAATGATTCCTTTGTACTGCGGTTGATTCCAGCCCTGCTCTGAGCAGGAAACACTTCTCCAAAGCTGAGATATGTACAGGCACCTTCAGAAGCTCTTAGGGCTGCCAAGATTCAGAGGCCCAAGGACCAGGCGGCCCTGGGAGTGCTTCCGGGAAGACCTTAGGCTGCCCCAGCAACCACCTTATCACTCCCTGGGCAGCCAAAAACTCCAGACTGCATGGCTTCCCACCCCTACCACAAATCTACTATCTTTGCTTGCCTCATGGGCCCTCTGCTTCTCTGAAACACACAGTTCCCAGAGTCTTGTGATTTTCCTTCCCAGACCTTCAACTCATAAGCCAGTTACAACCTAGAAGAGTTACCCTGCCTTTCCGTGACCCACCTCCACAGCAAGACAGTTTTGCATACCCACCCCAGGCCCCACCCCAGCCACAGCAAGACAGACCACCAAAGGAAACGTTTCTTGTGCACGCCCACTGCTGACTGAGAACATGCCAGATCCAGCCGCTGACACAGGAAGGTCCAAGCTTCAGAAAAGACACTGAAAGCTGGGATCTAGGGGCGTTGTGGTACCAACTGATGGGCACAGGGTCTTCTTTGGGACTGATGATAAAGGCTGAACTAGACAAAGGCAGTCACACTACGCTGTCAGTGTACCTAATACCCCTAGACAGCATACTTTGAAATGGTTTAAGTTCTCGATTTAGAGTATTTATCAAAATTTGCCATAATTTGAAAGAAAAATTAAATAAAGAGCCCTCAGAGGCCTGGTGGGGCCCCACATACATTACCCTTTCCTGTCGCCTGGACGCTGGTGTTGGAGGCTGTAACGTTTGGCCACCTTGCAGATGGTTCCTCGAGCCCACCTGAAGGAGGACAGGCAAAGAGAGATAAGAACACATCAATGGAGCAAACTTGGTCACTGGGTGACAATCAGAGCAGCAAGGATTTGATCAATAAACTGAGGTTTATTGTGTCAATAAATGCCCCTTTTTTTTATACAACCACTCACAAATTAGTGAGACCACCATCTCGCTTGGTCAGTCAAGGGCGCTCTGGGTGGAATGTGCAGGGTCTATGGGGAGTCTAGATTGGCTCGTTATCCAGCTAGAGAAGAGGGAATGAGTTCACAGGGACGCACAGAGTCAGATCCACATAGGTGGAGTACAGTGTGGCCACTGAACTCTTGCTGGAGCTCATCACCATGGCTGGCCTGGGCTTCCCCTTTGTGTCTGGTTCCCACACAGGGAGAAACGTCTTCAGAAAACTGCTGGGTTTCCTTGATAAACTGGACTCTGTTGACACCTACCAGCAAGGACAGTAAGGATCAAAGTGTTTGTGGGCAGTTGTCTGTAGACACCCTGTCAGCAGTCACCTCTCCCAGAAAGATGCCAGTCTCCAGGTACTAACTGATCCTTCTGTGTGCCGGGTACAATCCCGGAAACAGAGTCAGCCAGGAACAAGGCAGGCAGGGTTCCTGTCTCAACACCTGTACTCTCTAGTTGACGAGCTAGATTAAACAGTGGAGGAGCTAACTGCAAGATCTGAGGACCAAACTCAGCATGTGCTGACAGGAGGGGCTGGGGGCTTCTGGGAGTGAAGAATGAGAAGGGCCATGGATGGGTTCTGGGTAGGGCACAAGGAGCAGATCTGTGTTCAGGAGATACAATGACCACGAAACCATATTAAACCCTCCAGAGGAAAACCTACTGGCAAACAAGAAGGCTTTTTTTTTTTTTGTTTTTTTTGCATTGATTGAGAAACGTGAAATTTATGAAGCAACCTTTCCCTAGCCCCCTTGCCCGGATTAGAACATTCTGGGATACATGGAGTATAACCCCATTTTTAAAAAGTCAAGGCTGAGGTGCATGTTAATGAGCCCAGGACATGGTCTCCTGGGCAAAAAGCCAAGACTTATCCTGTACCTCCACTGCATGGTACAGTTTGGCACCACCCTGTCCAATGGGTACGCTGTGTCCAGGTCCACGCCAACGGAGGCAGCGTGCGGCCCTGGCACCAACTCCTGAAAGGCAGACTGCTTCATTCACGGCTGTGACTCAGGCAGGGCCTGCAGTGCCCTGGCCTCCTGTAGAGAAAGGACCCCAACACCAGGCGGGGACAGGAGCCTCCCTGCATCCTGCCTGGCTGACCGCTCAGAATGCGCGCTCACACAGCCCCTGCAGCTGCCGGGGACTGCGCTGCCAGCTCCGGCCCTCGGGTATTCCAGTTGCGATATCATTTCCTTTCAGGCTAAAAGGTCAGGGGAAATCCTGACGGTATGAAGTCGTTCCGCAGCACAAGAATGTGCCATCTGCAGAGAGAGGCGGGCCGCCGCCAGGCTCCTGGTCCAGCTCAGCCTCCACCCCGCAGGCTGCGCAACTGCTGCCGAGAACCTGGGCGTTAGCATCTTTGGTCTGTCAAATGGGCTGCTGCGGGAACCAAATGAGGTAATGGGTTTGTTTAGGTTTGTGTTCATTCAGAAAATATGCATCTGACACCTGCTATGTGCCAGATTCTGTTACTACTGCTGCAGGGGCGACCTCAGGAAATTATAGCCTGGTGGAGGGGAGGGGGGAAAGGGACAAACAGAAGCGAAGTATTTAAGTTGGCTGTCGGTGAGTGCTAGGAAGAGAAAAGGGGTGTTGCAGGGTGCCATTTCATGTAAGAAAGAAAAAAAGTCTGAAGAGACAAAAATCTATAGATGTCTGGCAAAGGGCATTCCAAACTGAGGAGACAGCAGGGGCAAAGGCCCTGGGGTGGGAATGTGCTTGTCAGGAGGGAGCTGGTGTGCCAGGAATGGGATCAAAGGACAGAGAGCTGTAGTAGTGAGGCCTCAGTCATCAGCATCTGCAGGACCAGCCAGTGTAGGGCCTTGCAGGCATTCTCTGGACTTCGGCTTTTATTTCGAGTGTCCTAGACAGGATTCAGAAGACATACAGCCACATTCGCTTTCTGTGTAACAGGAGTTATTAACAGTGAACAAGAGGGAAGCCTGCAAGCTGAGATTTAAAATAAGTTTCTGTATAGAAGTGGGCTCCCAGCGTAGATATCCGTCACTTTCATCCTCCTTGGCTTCCCAGAGACGAAGGGCGAGGGGACAGGAAGGAAGACCTGTGAGTTGTGTCTGGTCATACGCCTGACTCAAGATAAGCTGGAGGCTGTCGTGGAGGCAATTAGGGCAGTGGTAAAGGCTGGGGCTGTGCTGGAGGGAGCCAGGCCAGGAGAGGTGGCACTCGGTTCTACAGAAGGCAGAGGACTCAGTGGGCTTCTCTGCTTCCTTTGGCTCCCCGATGCTGGGGCTGGATAGGTGAAAAGCTTTGGAGTTGGATGAGACCCAGCAGTCTGAAGGCATCTGTGCTAAGTAAGATGCTAACCATGGTGTTAACTACAAGCTAAGAATGTGGCTAAACACTTTCCTCCCATGGGTTTAAGACTTCCAGCCTCATAAAGACCTAAGGATCAGAAAACACACGCCAAGAGGTAAAATGCCTCAACCACCGAGTGTGCAGGCGTGTCAGTCACAGACGGTGCATGTCCCCCTCGGACAACAACCCCCCCTCAATCAGAGCAAGAGCAAGTGGGGTGCCTGGGAGAGACAGACAACTCTGAAGGGATCAGAGCCTTGTTTGGGCATCTATGAGAGGACACCTGACATTAATGAAAATGTTAGTTAAGACCAACTACAACGGAGGCCTGTGTCTGCCATCTCAGTACTCAGGAGGTAGGGCCAGAGGATCAGGAATCCAAGGCTAATCTTAGCTATATAGCAAATTCAAGGCCAGCCTGGGCTACATGAGATCCTATTTTGTCAAAAGACAAAAACAAAACACGACAACCAAAACAAACAAAAAACCAAGAGCACAAGTCCCTGATCTTATCCTCTAGAGGTAAACATGGTGTCTTTTTCCTCAGAGGGACACCAGGCCCAGACTCCGAGTTCTGTCTGGGAAGGCTTCCGGTTCTGTTTGGAATCCACGGAGAGTAGAGAGTGGACAAGCTTTGCCACTTCGCTGATAAAAACCCTCCTACTGCATTTGAAGTGAATTCCCACTTTGTGGGTGGTGGGTGAGGCCTTTCGTGGCAGGATCCTCTCAGGCTCCTCTGCCTCACCCCTTGCCTCCACTTTCCACAAGCTGAGCCACACTAAGCTGTAGGGACTGGGTTTCCTTTCTTCATTTTCCTTCTTTATTCTTGTTGAAACAGGACCTTATTATACAAATAAGCCTTGAATTCAAAATTCTCCTGCCTCTGCCTCTGCCTCTGCCTCTGCAGTGCTAGAATTACAGACACGTACCACCTCACTGGTTTCTTCTTAAGTATCTTCTTCAACTACACCCCCCTCTTGGGCCTGGCTAGATCTTGCTGGTTCCTCAAGTCTCTAACTGGACACCACTTTCTCTGGGACACTGCAGACTGGCACCCCTACTCTTCCTGGGCATTAAGCCCATACCCTCTGAGCTTCCTCAGCTCTTTACCATGCCCGTGGCTCTCACTTTACATTCCTGGCATCTCGGAGGCTGGAGAGATGGCTCAGAGGTTAAGAGCACTGGCAGCTCTTCCAGAAGTTCTGAGTTCAATTCCCAGTGACCACATGGTGGCTCACATTCCTGGCATCTCTTTAGTGCTTGGCACAACCCCCCTTGCTAACATTTGAGATAAAGGAGAGGGCATATTCCCGCAGCACCTGGCATGAAGCAGGTGCCAGTTCCATAGGCGATGGCTGAGCCAGGGAGCAAAAGACTGGGGCAGTTTAATGGTGTTTCAAAAGATGACAGCAATCGTTTCCAGCTCAGCTTAACACTGGGGCAAAATGTGTGTTTCTCAGCTTTGCTAGGGAGAGGGAGGCAGCTACTGAACTCTCAACATTGGCTGCAATCTTAGTTATCTGGGAAGCCTTCGTAAAAAAAATACTGAGGCCTGCTTCCCCAACTCCTAGCCTCGGAAGCTCTGTTTTAATTGACCTGTGCCATGGTCTGGACATGGAGACTCTGAAAAGCTTCACAAGTGATCTGAAGGCACAATCAAAGTTGATCACTGCAGCCAGGAAAAGAGGCATATACTCAACCAGGCTGTGGTGGCACACACCTGTAATCCCAGCATTCGGGAGGCGGAGACAGGGGAATCTTTGAGTTCAAGGCCACCCAGGTCTACAGTGCAAGTTCCAGGACAGCCAAGGTTACACAGTAAAACCCTGTCTCCAAAAATAAAAGGCAGAAAAGAAAAGAAAAAGCCATATGTCACCCCTAGAACAATGGAAACTGTTCCTTAACAGGCGAGGCTGAGGCAGAAACTGCAGGTCTAAGAGCTATAGAAGAAGATGGACAGGAGCTGGGGAGACCACTCCATCAGCGAAGGGCTTGTCTTGCAAACACCAGGACCTGAGTTTCACCCCAGAACCCATGTGAGAAAAAGCGTTACGGCAAATTCACCCTTCCACTGAAGGGACTGAGACCGGAGATGCCTGGAGCTCACTGGCCACCAGTCTAACCTACTTGTCAAGCTTCAGGTGTGTGAGAGAGAGACTTTATCTCAACGGAAAGGTGGACAATGTCTGAGGAATCACACCTGGGTTTGTCCTATGGTCTCCCATGCACACGCACACACGAACATGTACATACACACAAACACAGGCAAAACAAACAAGCAAAGAGAAAACGGAAACAACCTGATGCAGAGAAAGCCTGGAGACAAGTAGGTGCATTCACAGAGCAGGCGTATGTTCTTCCTAAGGAATGACTGCCAGATATACACGCACACACCGTGCACATATGCATGCACGCATGCACATACACAGGTATGTGTTACAGACATACAAATATATCTTACATATTTGACCATTGTTTAATTACTTCTTCAGCGTAACAAT